GAATCTTCTGTGGATTAGTTAGTGTACATTCCCACCTTCATAAAATGATGCACACTTGTGTTGAGAGGCACAAACGTCCATTTATGGTTTTTATGCCAATGGATTGGGTTAACCCTTGTCACCACAGGCCCCTAGTTGGGTAATAATTAGCACTGACTGCATGATTACAGAAGGCTGATCAATTGCTTTGTTATATCATTCTATACTATATTGTACTATACTTATTAAGAAATTCAGTAGCCCTTACAGGCAGTCTGATACAGCTTTGACCTAATTGGTCAACCAATCCAAACACCATCCAGTCTCCAATTAAGAAATCATCCTTTGGTAAACAAATCACTATGACACATTCCACATGTGCACAACAGCAGATACAACAAGTGGAGATAAGAATTGTTTCTCATTCCTTTCTCTGATCTTCCCACAGCCTTCCTTGGGAAAGTCTGTGCCTGCTCTCTGTGGCCAGAGAGCTGCTGCCACGAACCCTAAACACTGACAAATGCCAGGCTACAAAGAGTGAGTCGCATCACAGACAGTGTTCTGCATCTTTAGAACACGAAAATACAGCCAAAAATTCTTTATGGAAGTTGTCAAGAAGTTTTCAAAACTCACACTCTTCATAATAGACTCTAACTGAAGGGGCAAAAAATTCTTAGGCATTTATCACTAAATTTATAGAATTCTCTAAACGGAAAACAAAATAGTTCATAGTTTATGAACTATATAGAAATTCAAATACAATAATTAAAAGTCCTTTGAATTATTTACATATGTTCTAAACATGTCATGGGCAAAGAAGTATTATCCGGTAAAGGCTTAAATTATCAAATACTTGTAAAGATGTCTATCAGCTCTTCATAAAATGTTGAAAGCACCTGCTTTAGAGCAAGTAGTTCAAGTAAGAAGTAACAATGTTGACTATACCAACTGGTTGGCTCCTTTCTCAGGTTTCAAGACATTTGGATTTTCCTGAAATATTTCAAGCTATGATTCTTCAGACACTCTAGTGTTTTCTCAAAGTTCTCGCAAAAGAGCAGTCAGTATCTAGAAACAGTGATGGATTGCTGACAGTGATTTTATCTTGTTAGAGACAATGAAAAATTTTCTTGAGTTTAGTGTCATATGCACTTAGTCTGAGAATAGTAAGCAATTGGTAACAAAACAATAGGACATTGCCAAAATTTTCTGTATGTACTAAAATTGTCTTCACTTTTTTTTTTTTTTTTTTGAAATACTGGATCTAGTTATGTATCCAGAAGACAACTTTTCTATGATTATCAAGACACATAGATCTTAAGCCCAAGTGAAGCTCTGCAAATTAAATACTAGTTTGGCATAATTTAATTAACTATTTCAATTAAAATCTAAGTCTGAATATTAGAAAGCAATGTTCAGAAAAAGTATTCCCTTTATTTTTTCCTCATATTTTCACATTTTTCAAACTTTTTAATAAGTTAATTTAAATGCATCTGGCGTATTTGCAATATCTCTCTGTTGGAAAATGCAGAGCAAGTTTCCTGATGCAGTATACCACAATCTTTAAATGTAGAGGCAATACAAAAATCATAATTCTCTTTCTTGATCCTCTTTAACCCTCAACAAACATTGTTGTTCAACAAACAATTAATATCCAGACCATCAGATCCAACATCTTGCTGAAACAAAGAAGTCAGAATCTCAATCCAGACACAAGGATTATTTACTGACTGCCATTTTAGCAGACCTCTCTTATTTACAGTGAAACAACTCTGGTCTCCACTAGTGATACACTGCAAGGTGATAATTCTTAATTCCTCTTAGGGTCTCATAAGCTAACAGCAAAATAAGGATTCCAAGTGCACATGAAACAAAGGAGAAGTTCTACTTGACACTCAGGTCCTCTGTGGCTTTGTGCTGTGTTGATTTTGGCTTCTGAGGAACCATGGCACTTACAGCCCACAGCAGAGGGTAGCATATAAACCTGAGGTTTGCCTTTGGACCTTTTTAGAAGCAAAAACTTTTGTTGAAAAGTTTTATATAAGCACCTACATTTTGTTTTAGCTGATAAATGGGAGATAAAACAAAGAAATTAAAACAGAGAGTAAGTCGATTAAACAGCATGAAAAATACTACTTACAGTTAAATATCCTTTTATGGATAGCAGCCTATTACCAGGTCTAGAAAAACATGTTCACATGAGGTTCAAACACTCAACAACAAAACATATTACTATAACATATTGGACCATCTTGAGAACTATCAAAATTGCCAATGTCCACATTTCAGATATATGTGTGCATCCATTTTTGCAGGCATATCATAATCTGAGCTATCAGAAGGCACTGTTTTTCCTGTAGTTATACAGACTGGCTAGTTTTGGCCAAAGTCCCATGGCACTATAAGTGGTATTTGTGAGGATAGAAACGAGGAATTATTTTACAGCAACCAGCATTTGAACTGATGCATAAATCACCACAAAATGATATGCTTTTTGAGTGTGATGCTTGTGAGAGATTCCCACACACACTGCACAAGAAGAATTTGGGCCTCGATGATAAGAATTTGGAGGTGATGTGCTCATTCTATCTTCGACTCTGGTCCAGACTTCAAGATCAGGAGTGGAAACACACAAAACAATTTGACATTTGAATAGGGTTAAATCTAGGAAGGGAGATACAATTTTATCTTTTTTCTTGGAAACTCATGGTCACCAAAAGAATTTGTGCCAGCAAACAAGTAATTGGATTAAATCCAATACACATTTTCAGCAAAACTGATTAATTCACAATGGGCCTTCTCTCCTAGAGTTACAGCTGATCACAAATGCTTTCCAAGCAGGGTAAAACTGTGCTGCTCTAGTTTGGTAGCATTTCACATTTGCTGCATGGTGAAAGGTTATGGTGAAAGGGTGTTGAGAACTAAGCCTACGTGGTATCACAGATCTTGGCTCGTTCTACAGAGGATTTGTTAGGAAAGCAGCAACATTGGTGCAAATCCTCTGTATTGGCAGAGCAAACAACTACACACACTACGCAGTGTTGCAATCCATCTGGGTTTCAAGTGGGGATTAAATTCTGCAAATCAGGCTAGACAAGGGAACTATATAGCCACAAACCCTTACCTTGCAGGAGCACACACAAATGGAGGGACCTAGCCATTTCTCCTTCCCCACAGCAAATTCATCCATGAGCTCTGTAGTCACAAGTATAGAAAAAGGATGGGGAAGGAGAGGGAGAGGAGAGGAGGTGCGATAGGATAGAAATATTTTGGTCTGTTCTGGTACTGCCTCAGTTTTACATTTGAACTTAAGGATGAATAAGCTTCAGACAGTTTAACACTCTACATTAGTTCGTGATCTCTTTTTCCTGGATCAATTTTGTGTAATTATTAAGTCATGCAAGCTTTTCTTGATGAATTTTTTGCTTTACCAAAGACTAGTTCAGTGTGGCTAAACATATTCACCACATTTAATAAAACTGTGAAAATAAATGAGTGGAAAGGCTTGTCTTTATCCTCCTTCCATGACATTGCTGTTCTTTCCAGTGTTCTTTGGAGTGTATTCTTCAAAGGCTTGTCCAAGCTAGTTACAAGCCTTTTTATTTAAAAAGAACAAACTGTATTAAGACATGATTGTGAGCAATGCTGGATAAACAGGAACTGTCCATCAAACCAGAGTTAATAAATGTTTATTTGTTTGAAGCACTAGAACTCAGGAGCTCTGCTGTCACTTCACTCCTGATATTTATGAGCCCAAAGCAATGGGAGATTCAGGTAGGTTTTCCAAGATCAGGAATGGATTCCCTCTGAATTACTTTTGTATAATACAGATTTGACATTTCCACAACCTATTTCCCCTCAGGATAACATACTTCACTATTACACAGTCTGCCAATGAAATCTTTTCTCTCTCACAGTTTCCAAGTCAGCATCTTTACCCAGATAAACCTTTGCCAGTCTTACGTAGGTTTGTCTAGTATGAACACAATGTGATTCATGGTGGCAATTACTTTAGTGTTTATAAGATTATTTTTATAACACTCTATAAGGATAAGATAAGCCTCTACCAGAAGGTTCTAGTGTACCTCCTGATGTTTTATTTGACTCTTGTTCTGCTCACAACTCTCACTGAACTATTTATAATGTTTTAGATTTGGACTTGCCAAATCCTCATAGGGAAGAACTAAAACCTCTCACTCCTCTGATTTATTGTACTAAAGCCGTAATAAGGCCTTCTAAGAAAGGCTCTAAAAACCCCCAGGAAGGCTCCTGATAGTGATTCTGGTGTCTCTTAGGACAAAGAAGCAGACTTCAAAGCCAGTCCAATCTTTGCCACACACAGATGTGGAGAACAGGAGCTCCACCTGCCCTAACACCAAATGACAGGGAATGAGAATGGAAGCCAGAACTGGCCACAGCCTCCTGGGGACTGTGGGCAGAGCCAGAGGATCCTCAGCAAGAGAATGCCACTGTCTGAAGCCAGTTCCAGACCAATGTGTCAGTAAAGGGATACAGTAACTAAAGTCATAACCCTAAGACATTAAAGGATAAAACATTAAAAACATATCAATAAATTGTAGCATAATGAGCCATTGGCTTACAACCCTGTCTGGAAAGCCCGGGACTTGCTCAATGCCTCCTGGGTCACCACAGTTCACTTGGCAGAACTGAACACAGGAACACTCCCTGCTCCACCACAGCACAAAGATCTATGCTTGATTTGCTGTCAGTGACTCCTATTGCTTCAAGGCATTGGTTGAAAACAGCTGAGAGAACTTCCAGAAAGCTCAAAATCTACCTCCATCCTATAACATGTAGTGAGTGCTGAAGATTACAAATGTACTTACTATTACAAAACAGATTTTGTTTCATTTTTCTGCAGAAAAAATTTATCTCTCCCAAATCTTTTACCCTTTAAAAGCTCAGACATATAATGAAAGCCATGAGTCACCTGGAGCTACTCTAGTCAGACTAATGTAACTGCAGCTTGATAACGGTGCAGCAATGAAAAGACTCACAATCATAAACATTTTTGTCACCTCAGTATCTTCTGTGAATGAGGAAAAATCACAGTCTTGACATCCTGACTGGTATCAGATGGTCTTATGTCTGGATTCAAGAGATATTATCATAAAAGTTACACAGTTTTCAGCCAACAATTATTCTTAACAGCAAATTTCATAAATTGTCTTCCATTTCTGGAAGCTAGAACTTACATAGCTTCTCTTATCTATTCCATGTGCACTTTGAAGGATAATGGCACTCCATCTCTGCTTATAGATTCAACACCTGTAATTTTACACAAAAACAAGCACAATATTAATAGCATAAATTAATTTTTCAAAAATCAATAAGGACTATAAATGAAAGTTGGTGGAAAGAGAGCAAGTGTTCTGTGAAGATCATTAGCTTTCCATACTACTGCCTAATTAATTTAAGGCTGAAATGGAATTATCATACCTTAAAGGGCAGATGATTTACTAAATACTTGCTTTTTTTTTGTTCCAAATTAAACATACAACCTTTGTATCCAAGGCATAATTTTAATGTAATGAAAATACATTATATTAAAACTATGTATGTATAATACACCCAGTAACTATAGATCAGTGAAAAACCAGGAAATCCTGCCTTTACTACCATGTGAAAGTAATTAATAAGACTACCCTCAGACTAGCAAAGTTTCCTCTCTAATACAACTGAGTGGCTGCCTTGTGTCAGACTCAGTCTGGGATTAAACACGAGAATTCAATTTCTAAAATTGTCAGTCAAGGACCTTTCAAACAACCTAAATTAATTTTGAACTGCTGAAGGAAATACATGAAACAGAATCAAGCCCTTCAGTGTTCACAAAACACAGCTGATTTAAAGCAAACTATATAACCTGTTGTGTGGGTGGACTTTTATCTCATGTGGGTTTACTTAGCAAAGCTAAAAATATTAGCCAATACAAGGTTGGAGGCTGTCCTCTGAACAGATGCAGATGATAACCCTTGTGAGCTCAGCTGTCTGCTCCAATTGCCTTGCAAATGATAGTGTGTTTCCAGCACAAATTACAGGAATTTAGACAGTTTGTTTGTACAGAGTGAAATTGCACAACTATACAATTCTGCACGCAAATACTGTGGAAGCATGGTGGAGGCTTCCTCTTTGGGGCTCTGAGTTACCAGAACTCTGTAAAAGTTCTTCCCAAATAAAATAATCCTTCCAATTCTTGGGAGTAACTATGGGCTAGCAATCTTTCTTTGTCCGTAGTACCACATATGCAACAAAGGTCACTATCTTTCAGTCACTTACTCTAAATTTTACATTTAGCCAAGTTGCTACCAGTTTCTGTACACTTAATGAGGGCTTGACAATACCAGTGCCATTTATTTTATAGGCTCAGCTCCTGAAATTCTGTGGTCATTCTCCCACATTTCTTTTACAAATGTCAAACAGGGTATGTTAGTGTTTGATAATAGTCCAAAACTGATTTATGTGCTGAAGGCAGTCTGTTCATGGCATCACATGAGCTCTGCACAGGCTAATTCCCCCTGCCGCACAGTTCAGCATCCTGATACAGCATACATGTATATTTCACTACTCATACAGTATACACCAGGTACATTTCAAGCCTTCATGACTCCACGTGGAAGCACATGAAATGAAAATTACCAAAAGGAGAAAGAAGATTCAATGAACCCTGCTTTTCTTATGGTTTTCGTTATATGGGAGCTAGGTTCATTGGTTCTGCACAAAATGCCGGATCTCTGCCATGGAGCTAGTTTGGCTGCAAGGCCAGCCTGCCTCTCTACCTGCAATACTGCCAGCTCCTGCTGTCCTTAGGCCCTGTCTCAGCCCTTCGCCTTTCGGAAGGGCTGTGGTGGCAGAAACCCCCGGGATCACCATTAAACATCACCGACGTGAAGCACCGGCACCAGGGCTGAGTGCCCGACCCCACAGTCCTCCCAAATCCCCCTCAACAGCACAGGATGACCCAGGGTGGAAAACTCAGTCCGAGACTTGGAATAAGCAGAAAATTCCTTTAACACCAGACTACTGGGCCGTTCATTAAATTTACCTAAGCATTTCAGCAATACGTTCTACAGCCGTTTTAAATGCCTGACGGAGCTGGATTACTTACGGAGACCTGCTATTGTTCTCTTTAAAGACTTCTCTTAGCGTATTATTGATAGAGAGGTCAGACACCCTGAGGGCAGTGTAAGTGGAAAGCGTCCTGACAGGAAAACAGGCTTAACGGTTTTGGTTTTTGTTTTTTTTAGCTAGGATTCATCATGAAAGTTCTGTGTGGGGAAACTGAGGCGAGCAGCGCGGTAGGATGTACTCATCAGACTCGTCAGCAATGTTAGACACCGGAGCATTCACAGTTCAGGGAGGCACACACACCTCGATCCACATTCCATCGCGCGGACGCTCTCACGGAGCAGGGAGGAGGCGGCTGGGGACCCCACCCTCCCGCGCACGGAGGTGATGCCATTGCGGCCGCTCCCCGCACGGGGCCCCGCAGGATTTCCTGCCTCCGCAGCCCCTCAATTCCTGGAAACGATCTCTCCCGAGGGCAGGAAGGGCGAGCGCGCCGCCGCCGGCAGCCCCAGAGCCCCGTGAGGGGAGCGGCGACCCCCGGGCCCCTCAGAGCGGAGCAGCGCGCGCGCACCTCCGCGCGCGCTTCCCGCCGCCGCCGCGCGCGCGCTGCTCTAACGGCCGCGGCAGCGGCGCCGCGTGCCGGGGCGCGCTCACGTGACGGCGCTGGTTGGCTGGGGCGCGCGCGCCCGCTCCGCGCTGGGCACGGCGCACAACGGCGCAGGAGAGAACGGCACGGCACGGCACAGAACGGGACAGCACGGGACAGCACGGCACGGCACAGAACGGGACAGCACGCACGGCACAGAGCGGCACGGCAGAGCGGAACGGCACCGCACCCGAGACGCCGCAACCCCGCTGAGCGCCACTTCTGTCCTGTCCCCAGCCGGTCCCGCTCCGCCCTCAGGTGAGACGCTGCGGCCCCGGCGGCGGGCGCGGGACGGGCAGACGCCGCCGCCGGTGGCTGTGGGTGACCCCGCGGGGCCGGACGCCGGGGGAAGCTGCGGCGGAGGAAGGAGCGGCGGGCGGCCGCGGCACCGCGGGGCTGGGACCGGCGGGCCGGGGGCGCTCCCCGTTCCGAGCCCCCGGCTCCTGCCCCAGGACAGTCTCTGCACCTGCCCGCCCTGCCCTGATGTCCCGCTCCCTTCCGCGGTAAGGTCAGAAATGCTGACGGCTCACTGGCGTGTCAGGCGGTCCTGCTGCATCGCTCCTGAGCCCTTCCACACCGTTAGACGCGTTCGCTGTTTCTCTGCTGTCGGTGCAGGCAGAGCGCTGGGCTGTTTATCACTACACCTGGCATGACTTTCATGCGCTCTTGCAGAGGGCTTCTTTCAAAACTCATCTTGGCTAACCCCTGTTTGTGCAAACTAAATGGACAAAACTGAAATCTGTTCGTACTTCACTTTCTGGGTATGGGTTTGGCACATTTGCTATAGAAATGAAACTTTCTTCTCATGTAGAATCTCCAGGCACTTTCTGCATGCACTTTGTTTGAAAAGCAATTTGCTGAATTAACGTAGCATGCACAAAGATAACTTGAGTTGACATACTAGCAGCATACCATCTATCTCGTGAGCAAAAATGGAATATTCCTGCCCTTAGGTTCCTTTTTAATCTTAAATTATTAATGGTTCTCTGCATTACAAGAAAGGAATTTGTAATTGGTACAGAGTGCAAATGCATGTAGAGAATTGCATACAAGAGGAGCTGGTAATAAAGAAGGACATGCCTCACTAAAAAACCAAGCAGGAGAATGACGTTCAAGAGCTCTTTCTCTTCTTTACAGTTGTTGAGAACCTCTGAGGAGAAGCAGTAGGCCATACTTAGCCCAACTCTTCTGCAGCTCTTGGAAAAAAAGAGATGAGAAAGGGGAAAACCTTTTCCCTATTTGGGGAGCATAGGAAAGCAGAGCTTTAGAGTTACTTGCACTTTCGTTTAGCAGCTGTTTAACTGAGTTGTTGTGGGTGCTCCTAAGATAGGGCTAGTGGCAATCATAATATCCCATCTTCTTTTAGAACCTGATTGTCAACAACACCAAATGTTGTAATTTGTACTTAGTTAAATGGAAATATTTATATCACACCTCATCATGCTGTTGTCTGTGTAATCAATACAGGAAAAAGTTCCTTTTTCTCTGAGAGATCCCTGAAAAAAACACACTTGCCAAAACTGAAATAGAAAGGGCACAACACTTGTCATTTGCCGTGGATCCAGCAACATTAAATGTTTGAATGTATGTTGAGAGGAAATGTTGATGTAGGTATCAATGGGAAGTAACATTTTTACTGTCTTTTCAACCATGTAATTAGAGCAAGTGAGGTGTGTCATAGTAAAGATTACAGCAGTGAACTAAGGTTCTGCTTTCTGTTGTTTCTTTTACTTAAATTTCTCCCAGTATTTGAGCTTTTAAAGGCAAAAGTTTGAAGTGAGACCATATTAAGTCAGAAACATAAGGTTTAAAAGCAGTTTTCTTTCATGTAATCCCTCAAAGTTTGTTGAAGAGATTTGGGGCAGATGTCCTGTAAATGCATGGTGTTACAGAAACTGAAACCAACGCACAGAGATGATGGGCTAGTTAAAGGAAACTCATAAAAAAACTTGAGAGAATTCTGCAATATTGTTAGTTTGGTAATAATAATAATAAAAATCCCCAACAAACCAAATAAAAGAGGAGTGGGACAAAGGATGGGTCAGCTAAGGCTTCTGAACAACACAAAGGTGAAGCTGAAGGGGATTTGAGGGAAAAACTGGGCTGAGTTTTCTGTAGGGTCAGCATGTAAGAGGAGTGTCTTGTCCATCACAGAAGAGGCTTCTAAACCAGATTACACACAAACGTTGACCACTATGAGACATCCAGGGAGCCCAGTGTTCCACCTGGCCACTTTTGTGTTCCTTCTGGGCCTGGTTTGCACTGCAAATGTTTCACTTGCCAACCTGCAGCAGGTGTTCCTGTTTCTCACCTCCCTGCCTATTTAAAAAAAAATCCCCACTTTGGAGAATTACATCCCTCACCGAATTGCTCTGTGTTCCAGCAGGTTTTAGTTTCCCTCAGCCCATGGTGACCTTGCTGCAAGCCCTGCACACGGTATCATGGTGTGCTTGTTGCTGTGGGTGAGCTTTAGTTCGGGTACTGCCTGCTTGGCTGCAGAGCAGATGGGAGAGAGAAGGAAGTGCACTGCCATGACCAAAACTGATGATTTCTCTGCAGGCATGCAGGGTGAGGGTCACAGCAAGGCAGCTCTTCTCAGCTGTGAGCTCCTCCAGACTCTGGTAAGGAAGGTGTATGTAAGGCTTAGCTGCTCTGTTCTTCTGAGTGCAGATCATCACAGAGAGAGATCTGCTTCCACTACCATGGTATGAGAGTTGTTTGTATTTGGGAGTTGTAATAGAGTAGAACAATGCTAATTAAGAACTCAACTGTCTTCAAAACCAGAAAGTGGAAGACTGAGGGGCAGGGGGATGAAGGCCATAAACTTTTATCTGTGAAATGAAACTTTTAGGCTCATGCTTTAGTAATGATGAAAATCAGGTTTAGCTACATTTCTATCTACTTACATTCTTCAAACAACTGGTCTCACTTTACAGCATAACAATTTAAAAATATCTCAGCAAGCAGAAAAGTCTTAATATGGCCTTTACTAGGACAATAATGTAAATGATTAATGACTGATGAACAAGAATTGTGAATGAGCTAGTGGAAGGGCTATACATGTCTGTTTGAGAGTAAGAAGGATCTTGATATATCCTTGGCTGTCATGTCTGTAGATTTTAATGAGGGTGAAGCAGAGAAAGACTGTTAGAAGCAAATGAGATCTCAGTAAAGTAAAAACACAGAAAGCTCTGGGTTTATGATTAGATAAACCAGATGCCCTTTTTTTAGTTTGGTTTTTTTGAAAATAAATGTTCAGAAAGAAGCTGCAAGTAACTTCTAATCTGCCATCAATACTCAAGAAACAAGTAAACAGTTATGAATGGCACACTATCACATAAGGTATCTATTTAAACAGTTTTAGTGCCCTGAGTATGCTAATCTCACTAATTAATAATTTGAGGAGCTGTTTAATTGTGGGTTAAGGCTGTCATTTGTAGGGCTTAGGAAGTGAGCTGTGTGGGCCTGCCTTGGAGGAAGTAAGGGTGAATAAAGCAGAAAAGATGGTGAGAAGATTCTCCACGGAAGTAGCTGCATGTAACATGGCAGTTCAGGAAGACTGATATGTCTTTGCCACTAAAATGCTTATTGATAAGTAGCAAAGGGGAGGGCAGGACTCCTAGAGGACATAAACATCATGCCTCTAGCTCTTGTGTCAATTCTTGTGGCTTGTCTGTTCCACAAAGGTGGAATCAAGTGTTCATTTTCTGTTTGCTCTCTCTCTTGTGTTGTGCTGGATATTTACAGAAGGTTGTAATTTATGTGAGAAACTAACTTCAGTCCTAAATTCAGTTCTGAAATGATCCTGATAAGAAGGGAGAAATGCCCAGTGGGACACTATTCTGTTCATTTGAAGACTTTGCATTTCACTGCTGCTATTCAAGCTATCCTGAACTTCTGAAACCTACTTGTGCCCCTGAGCTTTGCTTTTAGGGCAGTATCTGAAGTGAAATCAAAGTTCTTCCCACCTTCGGTTCTTGGAAAACCTCCACATTGCTCCTGGATGGGAACCAAGCCACAGTAAAGTAGGCATTTACCAAACCCGATGAAGGACATTTATAGTTAAATTCATTTGTTACCAAAGGGGGGAAGCAACATAGAATTCCCAGTTCATGTATGATCAGGCTGTCAACTCATATTTTAGAGTCTTGTCACCTTGAAGACAGCCAAAAAAATCCCTCCTCAGTCGGTTGCCTAAGAGAGAGGAGCTGGTTAACTGGGATACAGCAGTGTTAGGTACTGGCTACCCATGATTTCTTCACTGCATTGGAGCAGCGTGTTTTAGTAAAAATACACTTTACTCTAGTAAAGTTTACCTGTTTGAAACTTTAGAAGACTGTTTTATTGACCAAGCAGGCCTGCTTTACAATATAAAATGCATCCTAAAATATCTTGTTGCTGTTGTATGTGTTGTAATTTTAGGCTGAAAATAGTAAAGTTTATTCTTTTTTTTCCCCCTTCTTTCCTCTTTAGGAGTGCCATGTTAAGAGAAAGACATGAAGCATTTTTAGTGAAATTCTGCTTTTGATCAAGCTGCTAAAAATGGATGTGAACATTTTCTCCTGTGAGGTAAGTATCAACAGGGAGAAATAAAAAAAAAAAAAACTGACTTGTTTCACTTAGTGTTGCCTGTCACCACTGCTCTTCTGACCAGCAGCTTTTGGTCAAGTATTTTAGAGTTATAACATTTGTGTCTTGGCAAACTTTGTACCAAAAGTCTTAACTGAAAAGTTAAAATGAAACTAATAGTTTCATTTACAGGATTAGTCAGCTTTGTTCTGATATTCCTGCAGATAAAAACAAATGTTGGTGCTGCAGGGTTGGTAGTGAGCAGCTTCTGCACAGACTAGCTTTTGACCCAATGTCAAG